TTTTCTTCTCCCTCTTCCACACCAATGAGAGAGTGAAAGAGAGGGGAGAGAAAACCCCCTTCAGCACCAAAACACCAGAACTTTCCAAGCGTGCTGGTGTGTGGTTACTTTTGTCCCTACCAACTGCGTTAGTATTTCAAAATGGACCCGGCTCTCTGGCTGGCATGTAAGTGAGCTCTGTAAAGAACGCTCCAGGCAGAAACACTTGGGAACCACTCTGTGCACAGCTGTGTGCCTGCCCAGCCCTCTGGGGGATACAGATTTCCCTACCTTGGTGTAGGCGCATGGACCCCTCTTGAAGTACAAGAGCCTTTGTCCTGGTTTTTGGGACCTTGGGGACCAGGGGCTGCCCTGCAGGGTGGGTCTTCGGGATGAGGCTGGAGATCTGCCTCTTGTGCCCCTCAGACGAAGGTGCCTGAGTGCCCCTCCTCTGCGCCGCTGTGCCAGCCCAGACGCCAGCTCTGTGCTGACAGACGACTTTTCTCACTTGTCAGTTCTCTCGCATGTCAGCAGAGCTGCTGGTAAGTGAGAGAAAACAGGGGTGCGACTACACTAAGGAGGGGCGGGGCGGAGCCGGTGCAGTGCGAGGCCTCGGATCCCACCACCCCGCCCGCCTCCACTCATTCCGGTTCTTCTCTCCCCTTCTCACTTTCTCCCTCCTCTGCCTCCCCGCCCTCCCCTCCCCTCCCCTTTCTCCTTTACATCCTTCCTGCCACTGATCACTTCTGTGGCTTTGTTTAGGAGGGAGAGGAAAAAAAGAGTCAGACTAGGACCCCAAAGTGCTTTCTCCTGGAGCCAGAGCACAATCCCTATTCCTTTTTCTGGGTATTAACTCGGGACCATGGCTGGTTCCTGCAGCTGTCTCCAGGACACACCCGGGGCAGGCATTGCTCGCCTTCAGAGCCCGCTCTAAGTCTGAGCCCGCAGGGCGCAGAACCCGGAGCCCGTGCGCGGGGAAAGTGACAGGCAAACACTTACCCTGGTGGAGATCGCTGCTGGCCTGCCTGCGAGGAGGCGGGAAGGGGACAGCCCTAACTCAGCCTCACTCACTGCCGTGGTAACCTGCCGCTATGGAGTCCCCAACCAAGGAGATTGAAGAATTCGAGAGCAACTCTCTGAAATACCTCCAACCGGAACAGATCGAGAAAATCTGGCTTCGGCTCCGAGGACTGTAAGTAAGCCTATTTATTAATAATCGTCTTGCCCTGTTCTTTTCCCTTCCCCTTCCTTATTTGACTACAGTCACGACTGCTCACCGTTTCTGCGTGGCTCTCTGTAAACAGCCCTAGAAGTTGCTCAACTGCTTCCCTGTTAATTACAGTCACTGCTACTACCTTCCTTGCTGCTAGGGAAGGGGAGATGTTTGTGGAAGAGTCAGTTATGGTAGTGCAATAGGTAAGGGGTTTTCCTGGTTCTTTTTGACAGGGAGAAAAGTTTGAGGACCCTGACAGGACTTCTCATCAAAAGAAGTGTTTCTGTAAACTATTTGCAATCCCCTTGGCAGGTGGTCCAAGAACTTACCATCAGTTAATATGAAACATGCCTTCTGGCTGTTAAATTATCTTCTCTGTCTCCCTAGCCTAGTTCAACTATGAATATTTTCTTAGAATTTTTTTCTAGCAGAAAAATGCATACTACCAGGAAGGGCTGTTGGGAAGAAAGTGGGGGTCCGAGCAGCATTGGAGTTTTTTTTTTTTTTTAAATATTTGAACATAGAAATAGGGCACTTTTTTATTTTCTTAGTATTGTGGCCAGGATTCTAGTTGAACTGAAAGGTCTCTGAGTTTCATTCACTTCATTGGATTCAGTCTGATTGGAGGTGTTGAAGAGAGATGACCTGAAAATACATGTTTTCTGTGGAGAGATTGTATAAACACTGAATGCCACTCACCCTACTCAGGAACCTAAAGTGATAGTTGCACATTTACACCTTGCTCCTCAGTTGATGAGACAATCCCCAAAGCCACCTTCCATGACAGCAAGGTATTGATTCCATCAGAAATTCGGCATCTGAGGTACTGGCAGGTGCTGTGGTGGTTAAGGGCACTGGACTCCCCACATGGCCAACCGCAGCCAAACCGTGGTGCCTTGCGTTCCCACTTTCATTCTCTCTTTCTCTCTCTCTCTCTCTTTCTCTCTCTCTGTCTCAGTCTGGTCAAATTTAAATAAATAAATAGATAGATAAATAAATAAATAAAGTTAAATTAAAAAAGAAATTTGGCATTTGATAATCTAGTATATTTTTAAAAAGTTTTCTTTTCCAAGTGTATTCTCTAGACATTCTATTTCTACCAAAAGCAGTGATGAAATAACCAACTCCCCATCAGTGTCTTTATTTTGTTCTTCTATTGTTTTTAAAAACACATCCACACAAACAAACAATCAAAAAAAAAAAACAAATTTAAAGGGCACTAATCTAAGTCAGTCTATCTTAGGGGAAACCACATCCCAACTAGGGTATTCAAAATTTCTAAGGAAAGCAATGGGCTAGTGTGTATTTCTTTAAGGGGTCCTTATTTAAAGTGTAATTTATAAATGCTCTTCCGCTGACAGTCCAAGTGAGCTTCATTGCCACTGATCTAATGGGGAAAGCATGCCAAATAATTTCATTTTTGATTCGCCTGGCTGCCACCAGCAGAGGCTGTAAACTTATTTGGAAGTCTTGTCCCTCTGACTGGCAGGCAGTCCTAACTGCTAAGATGCATGCAACGTAGCAGCTCTGTCAGAATGGTGTTGACAGGGGCGTGGTGGCACCCGCCCTATGGCAGAGCAGTGTTGACAGCGAGCTCCTGTTATATGTAGTGAACGTTATATCTGATTATATTATTGTGTCTACAAAGTCTGGGTCCAAGTTATACAACATAAAATTGTTGTGAAGCTGGTTTCCTTGCCATTACAACTAGAGGGACTCATAGTCACACATTCAGGAATTTATTCTATTGGGTTGTTTTACACTTCAGAGAGATTCTCTGAACTATTCAGAGTAGAGAGGAGTATTTGGCCAAATCAGCAAAACTGAGGTGAGAACTTGTGCAAAAAAGCATTTAGCACTTATAACACACTGTCTTGTAGTTTTCTCAGTTTCATATCTGTTAGGCTTCTCTCCCTAAGGTGTTGCCATCTCTTGAATCTACTTAAAACCTGGTGACTTTGAACATGAAAGGTGTAGGGATAATTCTTCTTCAAATGTGTGGTTTTAAGTCCCTTTCTCCATTATTCCTGTTGAAATATCCTGCCCAACAGCAATCCCATGAAAGCTTTTGTTTCATTTTCTAAATTGAAAAGGAAACATTTTCATTGATTATTTTCTACATATACATACATACGTACATATGTGTGTACTTTATCACTATTATGTTTTTTCCTAACACTTAGAACATGTGTGTATGTGTGTGTGTGAGACAAAACAGCAGTATTAGAATAAGTTGGGGAAGAAACTGAATACCACAGCACAGGCTCGTTTTACAACTTGGAATAACACTTTTGTAGTCCACAGAGTAGAAACTCTAAATAGCTAGAAGGATGTTTTTCTATTAGGCCACACAGCAATTGTTGGTAAGAGAAAGGAAGCTACTATTTTAACATTTGAGAAAGGCTCAATAGTCACAATTGGATTTTCACATCAATTTATTACCATGACATTCATAGAAAGATGTTTATAAGAAATTCATTGTGTTGGGAACCAGCAGTTAGTGTAATGGCTATGTCGCTGGACTCCCACGTAGTCGACCGTGGTTCGCATCCTGGACCCGGTGGCTTAAAACTCATGCCGGGCACCTGTGTGTGCGTGCCCAAGATCCCGAGAGGAGAATGGAAGAGAAGGGATTGCAGCGTGACTATCCCCCCTGGGGGGTGATTTCTCGCTTTCTGTCTCTATGTCTCTCTCTGTCTGTCTGGCGAGCTCATGCGCCCTATAGCGAAACCTCTCAAACAAAAAGAAAAAAGAAATTCAGTGTGATTTGTTGGAGAGTCATCTAAGTTCAGAACATGATCATTTCATACCTGAATTATTCAATCTCCTCATCCATGTCTCCCCTATTTAATCTATTATTGAAGTTGTCATCTCCTCTGTTAGAATGTAAGTTCCACGAGGACAAAAATTTTGTGTCTTGCTTATTGTTGTACCTCTGGTACCTAGAACAGGGTGTGTCGTGTGGAGGGGCTCAATTAATGGATGATAAAGGAAGAAGGAAGACCCTAATGTGAACTTTTTCACATTCAAAAAATGAAGATAAATATATATCACATCATATTATGGGTCAAGAGATCTATAAATATAATATATGAGTTAATGGGGAGGCAGATTTTATTAGGCCAGACTGCAACATGGAAATCACAATGGATGCAGGAATTAGGCAAGATCTAGCAAAGCTATGACATAGGGCTGAATCCCATTCTTGTTTATGTAGGTTCCATCTTTCCCTTCCTTACATTCCCCACTTTCTGCACTGTTGAGGAGTGGACTTTACCAGTAGCCGGACTTCTGTGGTTATCAACTGCAAAGAATGTTCAGCACTGGGTAATACAGGGAATGATCCTTGCACATCCCAAACCCATTCATCCGCTGCTATGTTTTCTTTTTCACCCTTTGAGTCCTGTATATTTTATTTGTTATGTATATTGTCTCTCTCTCTCAACTAGAGTATAAGTCCCATGAGAACAGGGTTTTTTCTTTGTTTGTTTGCTTTGGTCACTTACTTGTCCCTAGTGCCTCCAATACTACCAGATATATAGTACATTTTCAATGCACACCTGAAATCTAGAATTGTTACACATGTTTCTCTAGAAAAGAATAAGAAAAGGTTCCTAACTTAGCATTATAAAATCATCAGCATACTAATAGTGCATCGAATATTAGAAAGGTGAGTTTTGAGCCTTATCTGATCCAGTTGAGAGTATAAAAACCTGCAAGCCTAGGTGTCTTCATTTATGTTCCCTGAGTGAGGTGCTGCAGAGAGGCCAAATATGGTTTGAGTGATGTGGTATTCCTTAGCCTTTCTTTGCAGCCCTGCCACCTCCTATCCACAACTCCACACTTCTCCAAGTCAGAAAGAACAAATACTACAGACCTGAGCATTCTTAATTATCTGTGAGAGGGGTGCTGCCCTCCTACTTTTCTAGATGGAGCCTCATTTTGACTTTTCCAGAAAATTCAGTTGTCCCCCACCAGTCATTGTCCTACCTCTTTTCTCTGTAAGAGGGGGTATAATCGAAAGTGAGAAATCACTCCCCAGGTGGTTGGCCACACCATAATCCCTTCTCCATTCTCTTCCTGGGATTTTAAGCATGCACACCCATGCACCTGGTATGATTTTCAAGCTGCCAGGTCTGGGACTTGAATCATGGTCAGTCATGTGGGAATCTAGCGCCTTAACCACTACGCCACCTGCTGGCCCTGGGGGTGGAATTTTTAAAGATCTCTTGATCACCCTTTTGCTGCAGAATTTTCCAATCAGGGATAATATAACCAGAGATGTTCTTCTGCCCTGCTAATGCAGGGAAGCCTCATGGTTGCTTGAGTTGAAGCATCTAGGTTATGACTTGTACTTTGGGTACTGATAAAGAGTTTTTCTATTTTCAGACTTCTATCTGATGACAAAAAGATATTTCTATGCTATATTCTTTTTCAAATTGAGAGCAGAAAGACAAGTTTTACTTATTCCTTGGCATTTACTATTGTAATTGTAGTTATCTAAGCTATCATGTATTCATTTTGCTATGAGTTAGTCAGAATAATAAATTTTATGCTTATGTAATGCTCTATGAAGATGATAATTTTTCAAAATATTATCTAAAGTAATGTTAGAAATATAAAGGCAGGCCAGTAGTTATTAATTTATAAACCATGACAACTATTGTTATTGTCTAGGTAGCAAGCTCCCCATTGCTCCTTACTATGATAATAGACCTTGCTTTCCACCCCTACCCTTTTACCCCACCCTAAAGATGGGGTAAAAGGCTCATGATCCATGACTGTCTGGTCATAGAACTCCACCTTCGTACAATAGTAGTTGGTCTCAAGTAGGGTGCAAACCCAGGTGGGAGCAAGAATCCTTTACTGATATTTCTCTATTGGTCATAAAAGAATGATTATTTCCCTTTCTTCTGGGTTTTCATGGTGACTACCACTGAATTAATTTCCCATTGTCTTCCTGAAGAAAGACTTCTATG